ATATACTAAAGTATTTTCCCAAGTTTCATCAGAAGTTTGGCGCATCAAGATTGTAAGAATTCACACATTCCAAGTATTAATTCTGGAAAATTTGGGGTATTTATGGTATTTTTCTTCCTGTTGATTCTAGAATGTTAATCACGGTTCTAAAGTTTGCATGAACAAAATTAATTAAAGATAACCGAAATAACTGAAAATTTGTCATAAATTCACCAGAGCTCCGGGTAGCACTTGAGGGCTCATAATTTTCAAACAACTTGAGATTATTTTTCCTACATTTTTTCAGAACAGTTAACTATCACCCTGTTACGGCTTGACGTCAAGATCTGGGACACCATATATAAAAGATACTATTATAAATTAAACATACGTTTACAGATATAATTTTACAACATTTGCATATATCTTTCTTAACGAATTCAGTGAAAATTACCGGAAATACCTCATATAAGTTATAACTTTCAGCTAACTTAATTATGGTGTTGAAACTTAAAGATTTCCAAAAATACATATAAATTTACAGCTTAATAAAGAGGTGCACAAGGTCCAATCTGATTTCAAGCAATTATATTGTGAAAACCAAACCAATTAACACAAAAAATACACATATAAAACAAACAGTATCTGACTACGTTCATAAAACGCCTAGCTAATACATCAAGAAAGATGTATGTTTTTGAGATATGTTTTTTATTGTTTGTCAAAAAATTGTACTCTAGTCCTCTTTTGCCTAATGGCGGGTTGGAATGGGACAGTCAAGGGGTGAACAGATCTAATGTTTTATTTTTAATTTTAAAGGGATTTTATGAAATAATAGCTACATTGCTCAATCAATGCAAAATATAAATTGTATGTGTACATTTTTTACGTGGATAACACTGTATATAATCCTGATCTAGTATTTATGCAGAAATATTCATTAGTACAGTTGAAAGAACTATTTATTTAATTTGTCTCATGTTAAATTGCTTTTTAAATTTAATTTACTTTTTTAATTGCTATTTTTTTATTGTTTGCACTTTTGTCAGGATAAAGGTGCAGTTAGTCCTTTTAACTCACCCACATGTAAGCTTTTATAAATGTTATGTAAAAAAAAGACTATTGATTCTAGCTTAAAAATAACTAAGCATTTTATGAAACAATTGAAAAACATATATATATATATATATATATATATATATATATTTAATAATTTTATTTTATTTTTCAATCAGAATACATGACAATTCTATGAGCTATTTGGCTTATGTCATTCACTCGCACACATACACACACACTTTCAAACACACTTATAAGTTTATCTGATAAATATTACATTCATATTTAGAGAATCACCTCAACAAGTGATTCTACTATTCGGTGCTTGGATACCAAAACAAACAATAATAACATATACTTACAAATTATATTAAAACTCGTAAACTAAATAATCGTGCTCACAGCCAAAAAAATCAACAACAAATGAAAATACTTTTATTATGGATTTTCAATCATTTCCCGATAGCGACGTCGTAAGAATCAAGGTGCTGGCTGGGTATACATCTTTTTCCTTCTACTTTCAAATATTATTGTTAAAAAATTCTTAACTTTACTGATTTTTGAAAATTGGTGGACTTTACCCGCGGACTTTTAAGCCCCGATCTATTCTATAAATACATAAATCATTGTATTACTATTATGGTATATCTAAAAAAAAATAATACTTAGTTTTAAAATTTGTATGTGTGCTGCTGCATATTCCTGTAATTATAACTTGGTATTATTTTTTCAATACATAATCATTTCACTTTCAAAATATAAATATGTATACTTACGATACGTTTATAAAATATTTAAATAAAACTCGAAATTATGTGAAATTATCGTTTGAAAATAATAAGTTCGAAAGTTGCCGAACAAATAGGACGCGAATGCATAGAAGAAGAAGTTCAGGAAGTAGAGTATCTCGCACCACAAATCTGCCTTTGTGTAGATTACAAATTATAGTACTGTATGTAACTCCAAGTAACATTATCCCCAAATATCCAGAACTATGTCATAAGTTCGAATAAATTAATTCGATGTGGATCAAGTAGTTATACAACACTCGTCTCCGAATCTTGTTGAAACACGCTGTGAGCGTGGGTTTCGGCTGTGATGAATTTGACAGTGAAATCATGTCAAAAGCAAGGTGTTCGACAATTGGAATTCCGTATATGAACTAATCGTCACCCGACCTCTGATCATTACGATCGGTTACGCGATTCGATCGTCCTCAGTGTTTCATGAAAAGAAATTACCAAATCGGTTTACCGGACAAACGGGTTTCGTTTTTTATCTCGTAAACTCATAACTTCCGCTTTCCTCCCTCGCGAACTGCGCACCGGGAATGGAATGATATTGCGCGGCGCGCGCAAAGCGGTCGATTCGATGGGCGCTAACACATTGCACGGGTACGGACGAGGTGAGATTCTCACAGATTATTTAGCGAATTAGCCCCTTGGATACGTTTGACGACTCAAATACATCGCGCCCGTCTTTGCTCCAAGTATCAAATTATTTCTGTATCGCAATTAATATTATTCTCATAATTAAATATGATATTCAAAACATATTGAAAAATATTTAGTTTGTATTCAAAATTATTTCTTTGACAATAGGGGTTGTGTTTGACTCACACGACAGGAATCTTTAGATCGAATCTTGTCATTGATTTAGAATTTAAGAAAAAATATATATAGTTGATTTGAAATTAAATAGAATTGGATTTGTTAAGTAGAATTTGAATAAAAATTTTGGATTAACAATAGCAATTACAGAATTCGAGCAAGATCGTAGAATATGTCCTATATATATATATATATATATATATATATATATATATCTGTATGAATATAAATATGAAAATATATACATAGCGTCCCAGGACTCAAAAAAAAATTAAGAAAAAATAATTTATCACACGTTGCTTAAAAATGATGAGCTTTTAAGTGCAACTCAGAAGTTTGGTAAAATTATGACCGTTTTTCGATAAATGTGATTAATTTTTGTTGATTTTGTTCATTTAAACTTTGAAACATTAATCGTGAATAAAATTAAAATAAAAATTCTGAAAAATAATAACAATTGTTCAAAATTTTCAAGAATTAAGACTTTTTGTTGAACTATGAAATAAAAATGTACTAAAAGTATGTTGGCAAGTATTGTATGATAGTAAAATGCTGATTTGAAATATGAGTAAGTAGAAAAAATATTAAAACTCGCTGAAATAAAAGAAGAATAAAGAAATAAAGAAAGGAAGAAAGATAGGAATCGAATAGAAATTTGAAATGAAAGAGCAATAATTGAAGGAAAAAATGAAGAAGTCGAATTGAAGAAAACAATTGAAAAAAAAATGAAGTGAGAATTTTTTTTTATTACAATATTTATTACAACTGTTAAATAATTTAACATCTAGCAATAATAATAAATAATAACATAAATTTAAATAAATAAGAGTATATATGTATAGATTGTATATGATATAAAAGATAGTATAGAATGTACATAAATAAAATGTTCTAGGTGAAGTGAGCGAAGCCAAATTAAAATATGACAATAAGGGTTGTCGGTTTTCAAGAACGGGTTTTAAAAATCGTTTTTTTGCGATAAGTATTATGAAATTCGAAAACCAGTTTTTTATGAAAAAATCGAGTTTTAATGTACGAATTGGAAATGACTAGTCACATGGTTCCAGATGAATGCAACGTTTTGGTTTTAATGAGCATATACATATACGATTTATACTTAAATTTATTTGTATATGTATACATACTCGTAAGCATGTATCAATAGGTATCTAATTTTTTGTTTTATTTCTAAAAGTTTTTTTTATTTTTCACGGTACGATCAAAGTTGTTTTGCCAAATTTCGTTTTTTCTCACTAAAAGATGAAAAACGCTCTGGTCTTCCAGTTGCAGTTGATTATACAGAGGAATTGTCTATTTTGAACACACTCTCTATAACTACCAAAGTTAAA